GGGGATTGGAGCTAGAAGGGAAACCGGTTTGCAAACCGTCCTTTAACACTGGGCGTTAGGAGCTGAGGGAGAGGGACTTACCGACAGGAGGGGTTTTCAGGAGGGGAAACTAGGAAAATACCTCGTGTATCAAGTCCCCTGCAACACAACACACACTGCACGGGTCTTATTCCGTTTCGCTGGGAGCAGTACCACACCTGTATCTACACACCCACCCTGAAGACTTCTCATCCCCTCCAGCAGGCGGCAGCACGGACACATAGACCCAGAGAAAGCAAGCGAGCAAGGGGAAGTTACACACTCTCACCGAAAGAGTAGCAAACACACACACTGAGCCGGTTGCATCTCCTTCAGCAGGAGACAGCAGTAAAATAGACAAACGTGCACACACACAGAGAGAGAGAGAGAGAGAGAGAGAGAGAGAGATGGGTTTATTACTCCTAAGAGGTAGCAACGACAGAAACACACAAAAGCGGATTCCGACTCCTTCCCTCCCGTGCGGTCGAGCAGGGAGGGACATCCACATACAGAACGAGTTGGTCTTTTCTCTACCTAGCAGGAGCCAGGAGGCCTGGCAAACACACCCTGGCCTTTCTTCTCGGGCGGGACTCATTCAATCCAGCAGAGAGCAGCAATGTTACACAAATGGATTTGCATCCATGCTCTGTGACAAAGTCCTGCAAGGAGGCAGGGTGCCCCTCGAGCATTAAAATGGAGGAGAACTGGGTTCTGTTCCCGACTCTGTTGCTGGGTGACCTTGGGAAGTCACTTCACCGCCCTGTGCCTTAGTTTCCCCATCCCTAAAATAGAGAGAATTCTCCTTCATTCCAATAACCGGCGGCAGGGACACACAGCAAGACAGGTTTCAGAGTAAGAGTCATACCCGGTCCACCCAGCAGGGGTCCGCAACATCCAAACAATCACACGTATGACAAGACCCAGATCTTATTTCACACCCCGCCGGGGACATCAACACACAGACACACAGCAGCGGAGAGCTCAGGTCTGGTCGCTCACACTGAGGGGGTCAAGCAGCTAGGAGGGAGAGCTAACGGGTTTTATGCTCCGTGTCAGAGTCTTGACTATAGCTCAATGGTGGGTTGCGAGTTCAGTCCTTGAGGGGGCCATTTAGGGATCTGGGGCAGAAATTGGGGATTGGTCCTGCTTTGAGCAGGGGGTTGGACTAGATGACCTTCTGAGGTCCCTTCCAACCCTGATATTCTATGATCTATATTTAAAAGTGTTCGGTGTAACTTGAAGAACCGGCCCAGCGTCCCACAAATACAGCAATTCCGTGTCTCACCCCGGTGCACGGCGCAGGCCTGTGGAAGGAGACTATTCCGGCTCAGTCAGAGCCCTCCCGCCCCAAGCCCTTTTTCGCTGGGCGAAACCCACATGCAAATCCCTGCCCTGCTTAAACAGCAGCCCCCGGTCCTGCGAGCCTCAGGCACCGCACGGCGCTGGCCCGTTTCTTCCTGCTGAGGAGTATCCCCAGACCCCTTCCTGCCACACCTCTGCGACATGGCGTTGCTGCGGGGGTTTCTTTTCGGCCTCTTGGCAGCTCCCTTCGGTGAGTATTTCGGGAACACGCAGACCCCGCTTTCGCTCCCTGCCCGCAGTGGAGCGTCACTTCTCCTTTTCTCTCCCTTCGCCAAGGTGTCCTCTCACAGATCCAGCTGGTCCCGTCCGCCCCGGCAGCGGTGAAGCCCGGAGAGTCCCTCGCTGTGACTTGTAAAGTGTCGGGGGACTCCATCGCTACCCGCGCCTGGTGGAACTGGGTGCGCGAACTCCCCGGCCGAGGGCTGCAATGGGTAGGGCGCATCCATTTCTCCGGGAGCACGAACTACGCCCCCGACCTCCGAACCCGAGCGAACATTGCCAAGGATGACGCCAAGAACGAGTATTACCTGGAACTCCGCTCCCTGACCGCTGCAGACACGGCCACCTATTACTGCACCAGGTGGGACCCACGGTGATACACTCCGTGACAAGCCCCTGGTGGGGGAGTCTCCTGAATGAGTCGGCTACGTCTGTTCCCTGTTACAATCTTCCTACGCTCTCCTAAGGGGCCGGAGAGCTTTCCCCCTTGGCGCTGCTAGCTCGTTTCCAACCCCGACATGTTTCCAGGGAGTTTCTCCTATTTAGCTGGAATCTTCAATGACCGGGAGGAAGTGTGATTCAGGGATCAGGGAGCTGGCCAGAGGCGCGTCTGCCCTGTTTATTGCTCTGCGAGACCTGAGGCAATTCACTTAGAGCCAGATTTTTAAAGTTAAAGATTTTTAATAATTCCCGTTGAAACACCTTTAAAAATCTGGCCATTCATTAGTCTCTGTGACTGCCCCCCCTCCCCCACACACACACAGACACACATGCTCCAGGTCTACCAAAGACTTAGAATCATGGAATCATAGGACTGGAAGGGACCTGGAGAGGTCATTAGTCCCGTCCCCTACACTCATGGAAGGACTGAGTTTTCTCTTCTGAACCATCCCTGACAGTGTTTGTCTGACCCACTGTTAAAAATCTCCAGTGAAGGAGATTCCACAGCCTCCCTAAGCACAAGACTCACCTTCCACAAGTCTCTCCAGGGCAGATTTTCAAAGTTGGGCACCTCAAGTTGCAGATGTGCAAATCTCACTGGATGCCTAAGTTTATTAGTTTAGCTCACACCCGGCCAGCTGTTTTAAAGATATTTAGGTGCTTATGGTGTAGATATTTGCCTAACTCCCATTGATTTCAATGAGTTGTTGACACCTGGGTACTTTTGAAAATTCCAATCGTTGCTTATCTGGATGTTTAGGAACCTAAATGCCTCTGAGAATCTGGCTTTCTCTGCCTCAGTTTCCCATCTGTGTAATGGGGATATTGACACTTCCCTACTTCACAGTAGAGTTAAGAGCACAAAACACACTAAAGATTGTGCTCAGACACTACGGTAATTAGCAGCAAAGAGTCCTGTGGCACCTTATAGACTAACAGACGTATTGGAGCATGAGCTTTCATGGGTGAATCCTCTCTTCCTCAGCTGCGTGTAGTGGAAATTTCCAGGGGCAGATATAAATATGCAAGCAAGAATCAGGCCAGGGATAAGGAGGTTAGTTCTATCAGGGAGGATGAGGCCCTCTTCTAGCAGTTGAGATGTGAATACCAAGGGAGGAGAAAATGCTTTTGTAGTCCGCAAGCTAGTCACAGTCTTTGTTTAATCCTGAGCTGATGGTGTCAAATTTGCAAATGAACTGATGTTCATTTTTTAAATTCATACTTTTAAAGGTCGCCATCCTGCAGCAAAAAAACTTCAGGACCAGACTACAAAGAGAAACTGCAGAGCTTCAGTTCATTTGTAAATTTGACACCATCAGCTCGGGATTAAACAATTAGATCCAGACTAACAGGGCTATCCCTCTGATATGGTAATTAAGGCATATCAATGACTGAAGTGGATAGTAAAAATTTTCCTGTCAGAGCTTTTCTGCAATGGAAAATTAAGTATTTAGCTAAAGTTTTTTTTCCAGAAAATCTCTTTGGGCATTTGGTTGAAAGATATTTTGGGTTTTGGCCAAAAAGTCCATGATTGGTGATGATTTTAAATTTTTACTTTTCAAGATTTTTTTTTTAACAAAAAGTTTTTCGGGGGGGAAACAACCCACTTTATACCCAGCTCTACTGGAATAAGACCCGTTCTCCATCTGGTCCAAACCTGCTGTTAGCTCAGTCAATGTAAACTAGACTCTGCTCTCAGTTACACTGGTACAAACCCAGCATCACATCACTAATATCTGTGGGATTATTTTAGGTATTCATCCCAGTCACTGAGGGCAGGACTGGACCCCACCAATATTAGCCTTGATTTCACAGGGAGCAGAAGCAAGCCCTACCTATATTTAAGGTTATTTCAAAGTTCCCCAGTGTCAGGGTTTCTTCCCCACTCTGAACTCTAGGGTGCAGGTGTGGGGACCTGCATGAAAACCCCCTAAGCTTATTTTTACCAGCTTAGGTTAAAACTTCCCCAGGGTACAAACTATTTTACCTTTTGCCCTTGGACTTTATTGCTGCCACCACCAAGCATCTAATAAATATATAACTGGGAAAGAGCCCGCTTGGAAACGTCTCCCCCCCCCCAAAAAATCCTCCCCAAACCCTCCACCCCCTTTCCTGGGGAAGGCTTGATAAAAATCCTCACCAATTTGCATAGATGAACACAGACCCAAACCCTTGGATCTTAAGAACAAGGAAAAAGCAATCAGGTTCTTAAAAGAAGAATTTTAATTGAAGAAAAAAGAAAAAGAATCACCTCAGTAAAATCAGGATGGTAAACACCTTACAGGGTAATCAGATTCAAAACATAGAGAATCCCTCTAGGCAAAACCTTAAGTTACAAAAAGACACAAAACCAGGAACATACATTCCATTCAGCACAACTTATTTTATCAGCCATTGAAACAAAACAGAATCTAATGCATCTCTAACGAGATTGCTTATTAACCCTTTACAGGAGTTCTAACCTGCATTCCTGCTCTGGTCCTGGCAAAAGCATCACACAGACAGAGAGACCCTTTGTTTCTGACCCCCGCCCCTCCAGCTTTGAAAGTATCTTGTCTCCTCATCGGTCATTTTGCTCAGGTGCCAGCGAGGTTATCCTAGCTTCTTAACCCTTTACAGGTGAAAGGGTTTTTCCTCTGGCCAGAAGGGATTTAAACAGCTCTGTTTACCCTTCCCTTTATATTTATGACACCCAGATTAAATTTCTTTAATTTTCTGCTTCTGAAGAGATCATCTCCCAGACAGATCAGAATCCTGAGTTTCGCTTGATGAAAAGGGCCAGGCCCCAAGAGAGATCCCCACCTGCCACCAGACCTAATCTATCAGCCAGTCAATTCTCCCCTGTTCCGCTGCAGGGCAGCAGCTGCTGCATCTCGATCTGTTTCCTCCATTTAGCCCAGAACCAGCTCCCTGCTGGCCCCTTTCATCTCCCCTCCTGATGGGTGAAACCTGCATGCAAATCCCTACCCAGGGGGGTTCCTGTTTAAATACAAACTCCTGGTCCTAGAAGCCTCAGTCTCTCCCCAGACACTGAACTGCCCAGTCCCTGCTGCTGGGGAGTCAGTTCATTAATTCAGACCATCATGGACTCATTTTTCACCCTCTTATTCCTCTTAGCCACCCATTCCTGTGAGTGTCTGTGGGAGGGGGTAGGGAAAGTTCTGCTTCGCTTGTACTGGAGGGAGAAATGTCCTTTGACTTCAGCAGAGCAGGGGGAGTCCCCGGGGAGTATCTGATCAGCATTAGAATTCCTGAAACAAATTTCCTCCTTTTTCAGGTGTTCTTGCCCAAATCCAGCTGGTCCAGTCCAGCCCGGGAGCGGTGAAGCCCGGAGAGACCCTCACCGTGACCTGTGCAGTCTCGGGTCAGTCCATCACTAGTGGTCATGGCTGGCACTGGGTCCGGCAGCCTCCCGGGAAAGGGCTGGAGTGGCTGGGACGGAGATTTTACAGCAGTTCCTCCTGGTACACAAACTACAGCTCATCTTTCCAGAGCCGAATCACCATCTCCCCTGACTCCTCCAAGAACCGGTTCTCCCTGCAGCTGGCCTCCCTGGGAGCTGCGGACACCGCCACGTATTACTGCGCCAGGCAGACACAGTGAAGCGGAGCAAAGCAGGGACCCGTGCAAAAAGGGGATGTGGATTCTGAACATACTCTCAGGCCTCTGGCATGGTGTAATTTATCTGTCTAGAGAAAGGGAAACACAAACACAGGAAATTTCCACTAGATGGAAATGAAGGGACATCTTCTGCTTCCCCTTTCTACTCCCTCCTCTCCCCAAATAGACTCCTTCGGTGCTAAACATTCATGAGAATCTTGGCACGGTGAAGAATCAACATCTATCGCTTCCTGGGGACTAGTCTACAAAAAATCAATTACTCCGAATTAATATAAATCAGTTTAGCTAAATGGGTGCCATTTTTGTGTGTGCATGCTCGCATTTCAGTTTCAAATTCGTTCCAGCGGTTCATCTTGGGAACCAGGAAAAATGCTGGAAGCAAAGTTTATAACCAATGCATAAGAGCGTCCACACACAGAAAGTCAAAACGGTTAATCTCAATGGGACTGGAATCACATAGTTACTTACATCATCACCCCTGTGAGTGGAGTGCACACACACACACACACACACACACACACACACACACACACACCCCAGATCTCATTCCTTCCAGAAGGATACAAGCGTCCACAGAGAGGGAGTGAGAATGCTCTTGTATTCCGAAACTCTGTAAAGGAACAAGTGAGTTTTCTCTCTCTCATAGAAACATGATTAGATATCGGATGAGACTCAAGGTCCATCTAATCCGGTATCCCACCTCCAACAGTACCTGATGCCTCAGAGGAAGGTTGTTTGCAGTGTTGCTGTAGCCCTGATGGTCCCAAAAATATTAAGATACACAGGGTGGGTGAGGTAATATCTGATACTGAAACAACTTCTAATGGTGAAGAGACACGTTTTTGAGTAACGCAGATCTTCTCTGCAGGTCTGGGAAATATCAGATCTGAAGAAGAACTCTGTGTAGCCAGACAGCTTGTCTCTGTCACCTACAGAAGTTGGTCTAATCAAAGATATTATTTCACTCTGTCTCTCAGAAGACACACAATAAGCAGATGGGTGATAATCTGTGCCACACACAGGTTTTACTAAAACAGATACTAAAACTCAAAGATTACTTATGGGCTTGATGCAGGAATCATTGGGTGAGGTTCAATGCCCTGTGTTAAGCAGGTCAGACTAGATGATCAAGTCCCTTGGTAATCCCATCTAGTCTTAATATCTACGAATCTATTAAAATTACAGAATTTTTCCCAATGTGATTGCAAATGAAATGAAATTATGTGAAAACTCAATGGAATTTTACTTTCAATGAGATTTGGCTGCCTTACTGCCTTAGGTCTTTCTGAAAAAAGAAAGACATTTAATTATAATAATTAAAACAAGAACTCAGGCTCACACCTTCTGTTTAACCTTCAGTGTTTGCACACCACCTGCAGCAAGGCTTCCTGACATTGGCAGACACAGCCACCTATTCCTGGGCCAGAGGCAGCCCCGTGACAGGGAGCAAAGCAGGGACTCACACAAAGAGAAGAGGTCAGTAAACAATAGTGAGGTCAGAGTTACAGAGAGAGTTAAGCCACCCAGAGAGAGACACACACAGTAAATTCAATATGAAAAAAACAGATATGAAGAGATTTTTTTCAGAGAATCCAGAACTTACCCCCTTTTTCCTGGACACAGTTTCCTTTCAGCTCCCACAGGATCTCATCAAACTTCCTGAGAAAATAAATGTATTTGTTTTCATTGCAATGGTTCCAAGAACAGGCAGGAAAAGATTAATGGAAACGTAGATTACACAAAATCACTCAGGGCCCCAGGGCTCTGCTCCCTGATTTCTTCAGACAACACACAGCCAACCTGTGGAATTCTTTGCAAGAGGATGTTGTGAAGGCAAGACTATAACAGGGTTCAAAAAAGAACTAGATAAGTCCATCAATGGCAATTAGCCAGGATGGGCAGGGATGGTGCCCCTACCCTCTGTTTGCCAGAAGCTAGGAATGGGCAACAGGGGTTGGATCACTTGATGATTCCCTGTTCTGTTCATTCCCTCTGGGGCACCTGGCATTGGCCACTGTTGGCAGACAGGATACTGGGCTGGATGGACCTTTGATCTGACCCAGTATGGCCGTTCTTATCAGCATGTGAATTTGTGGCTATTTCTGTGTATCCAGGTGTGTACAGGAGTATGTTTTCTGTGAACCAAGAAAGTCTCTTTCCTTCCAGTAGAAGGTAACACTGACTCAGGCCCACACAAACCAAAATAAGCACAACAAATCTCATTCCCTGCCTTAGGAGGCAGCAGTCTTTCTCACACCCCATCAGAGTTCCCCCCCCACACACCGACCCCATCTGCTCTGAACTCTGGTGTACAGATGTGGGAACCCGCATGAAAGACACCCCCCCCCCTCCCAAGCGCATACCCTACCAGCTTAGGTTAAAACTTCCCCAAGGCACAAGTTCTTTTCCTTGTCCTTGGATGGTATTGCTGTCACCACCAAGTGGTTTAAGCAAAAATTCAGGGAAGGGTCACTTGGAGCCCTCCCCCGCAAAATATCCCCCAAGCCCCTTCACCCCCTTTCCTGGGGAGGCTTGAGAATAATATGCCAACCAATTGCCTTAAATGTAAGTACAAACCAGACCCTTTATCTTTAGGACACTAAAATCAATCAGGTTCTTAAAAGAAGAGCTTCAGTATAAAGAAAAATGTAAAAGTATCACACCTGCAAAATCAGGATGGAAGATAACTTTACAGGGTAATAAAAAGATTTAAAACACAGAGGACTCCCCTCTGGACTCAGCTTCACAGCTACAGAAACAGGAATAAAACTACCTCTTAGCATAGGGAAAATTCACAAGCTAAAACAAAAGATAATCTAACACATTTCCTTGCCTTACTTACAATTTTTGTAATCATAGATGAATCATTTCAGGTTTTATTTTCAGGAGATGTTGTCCCTTCCTGGTCTCTCTGTCCGGAGAGGGAACAATAAAAAGAGCACAAACAAAACCTCCTCCCTGCCCCCGCCAGATTTTAAAGTATCTTCTTTCCTCATTGGCCTTCTGATCAGGTGCCAACTAGGTTATCTGAGCTTCTTAACCCCTTACAGCGATTCAGTATGGCTTCCCAGGAGGGATTTTATGTTACCCTTATTTCTATGTTTATGACACACCCACCCTCACTCCGAGGCAGTTCTTCTACCTGGAAAGCACCTAATAATAAGGTGCTGTGTTTCCCTCCATCCTGGCTTTTCAGATTCGGCGCTGTGTCCTGCCATCACAGCCTGTGTTCTGGCAAAGCCCACGGGCTGCCTCTTCTCTTCATTCCCTTTTCCTTCCCTGTCACCAGAGCTGCTTGTCAGGTTCTGTGGCCTAAACCAGCCCTTCCCCGCAATTCAGCTGCTGCTCCTTCCCCATCTGGCATTCCCATGTCATTTCCCCAAGGACACAGTTTATATCTATTTCATATGCCCAACACATTTTCCGAATAGCCACCGCTCCAATACAGGGACACCTTTTACTCAACTGTGGAGAAAGAAAGAAAGAAAGAAAGAAAGAAAGAAAGAAAGAAAGAAAGAAAGAAAGAAAGAAAGTTCGTTCAAGTGTAGACTAGGGGATATAAACCCTGGAAAGGCACTTTTCTACCCAAATGAGAGTGCACACTTGGGGATAGACCAGGATATGTACACATGGATTTAAATTTACATTTAGGTTATACCAAAACTAATTTCCCCTGTAGACAAGGCCTAAGTCAAACTGGAGCAAGTCTGTTTCTAAACCACTCCTGACTCCCTAGAGCACTCAGATCTGGTCTACACACAGCTACACACATTCATATAACTGCTTGAGTTAGGAGAGTAATGTTTTCACCCATGTAGTTATAACAGTGCAAGGCCTTCTGTGGATGAGGTTATACCCGAGTAAAGGTGCCTTACTCCAGTCTAGTTTGTCCTCTTTCTCACTGGGTCATGAGCTGGCATTTTGTCCGCCTTCTCCATGGACGTCCCGGTGTCTGAGAGGAAGGGCAGAGTGTCTGACCTCAGAATATTAGGTGTCCCCGAGCCATTCCCTGCTCTTCTCAGCAATGTCCGAACCGCATAGCTTGGAACGGAGTCACCGGATACTTTACAGGTCAGTGTAAGGGATTGTCTGGGTCCAGCCTAACTCACACCTGCACACAGAGCAAGTTTCACTCCCTCCAGGAGGGCCCAGCAGTGTCTCTCTCACACTCTCTCTCCCCCTCACAGGTGTCTCTGCTACAGGAAAAGCACCGGACCGTTTCCCCCACGCGTGCGCTCTAGACTGTCCCTGGGTTGCTGCCCTCACGGCCTTTATTCTGGCAGAGCCCAGAACCTGCACCATCCCTCCCTTGGTCGCACGCTAACACATGAAGTTGATGTGTGACTCTGCTTCCCACCAGACAGCTCCCTACCTAGAGGGGCCCCTCCCTTTATATCCGCTGGGGAAACGCCGCATGCAAATCCCTGCCCTGGGGGGTTCCTGGTTAAATACAAACCCCTGGTTCTAGGAGCCTCAGTCTCTCCCCAGACACAGAACTGCCCAGTCCTGCCTGCTCGGGAGTCTCCCTCATTTTATGAGAAAGAGAATGACATCTCTGTGGCTTTTCCTTCTCCTGTTATTGGCCCCCAGCTGTGAGTGTCTCTTGGACAGTGGGAGAATTGGGGGCAGATGCACAGATTCATTGGCTGGCTAATTTCGTCCATATTTTGTTTTCCTCTCCCCAGGTGTCCTCTCCCAGGTGCAGCTGGTCGAGTCCGGCCCGGGCGTCGTGAAGCCTGGACAGACCCTCACACTGACCTGCGCTGTCTCGGGTGTCTCCATCACTGACAGCAGCTACGCGTGGAGCTGGGTCCGGCGATGTGACGATGTGACTCAGCAGGGAGGGGGAGTGTTGACCTGGGAATGTGCCCTGGGGATGGGAGACCTGAGAGCCTGTCACCTGAGCCAGGAGGGGGAGGGGGAGGTAACACCTCTGCCCAGGAATGTGAACAGAGGCTGCAGCAGGGAACCTGCTGGGTGGGTTTAGTTGGCAGTTTGGAGGCTGGGGGGAGGAACACAGGGAACCCCAGGGCTGGGGTCTAAGCTCCCTGCTCCCCCAGAAGGACGTGATTGAGGGGTCCTGGTTGTACCCACAAGCTCTGTTGTGGACTGTGTTCCTGTTGTCCAATAAACCTTCTGTTTTACTGGCTGGCTGAGAGTCTCAGTGGATCCCAGGAAGAGGGGTGCAGGGCCTGGACTCCCCCACACTCCGTGACAACTGGTGGCAGCGGTGGGATCTACTGCACCCCGTGAACGGCGCTTCCTGCAGTAAGTGACTGGGGAACAGTAAAACGAAGGGGAATTGACGGGGACCAGGCGTGCTGAAGATTCAGAGACGGTTTCGGGGGGCGGTTAACCCCTGGGAATGTGTGACCAGAGAGAAAGACTTTTGCAGTAACAGGGTCCCCCGGGGGATTGCAGCGAGCAGTCCCAGGGGCGGAGGAGTCTGCAGCTCGACCCTGGCAAAGAGGTGGTGACCTCAAGAAGGACTGGCACACTAAGGGCTTTTCCTGGAAACCGTGGGAAGCTGCCCGGCCTGCGAGTGGCCAGCAGGGAGATGTACGCTAAACGCCTTAAGAGTGACCTGGTGGAGCTGTGCAGGCAGAGGGGGCTGCGCATTGGGAGGTCCACCAAGGAACAACTGATTGCCCAGTTGGAGGAGAGGGATCGCTTGGATGACCCGATCCCTATCCCTGAGGGGAGCCGCCCGGCAGACGCAGCGTGGGCCCTGGGGCCTGACCGGGCTGGGAGGGGTCAGACTGCTGCCGAGGACATCCCGAGACCCTTCCTACCTATGTCTGGGGGGAGGGGGTTGGGGGAAGCCCAGCGAATACCGAGGGCACCCTGACCCCAGCACCCAGCAGGGGATCCTCCCGGCGGAGCTCCCCATCCCTGGAGCGGAGGCGGCTGGAATGGGAGAGGGAGATGAAAATGAGGGAGCTGGAGGATCATGAAAAACAACGTCAACATGAGCAGGAGGAGAAGGAGAAACAACGTCAACATGAGCGTCAGGAGAAGGAGAGGGAGCGCCAGGAGAAGGAGAAACAAAGACAGCACGAACTGGAGCTGGCCAGGCTGAAGAGCAGTGGGGCCCCGGCTGTGGTGAGTGAGGGGGGACCCAAGACTGCAAGGAACTTTGATAAGTGCTTCCTGGCCCAGCGTAAGGAGGGGGGACATAGATAGCTTCCTGACGGCCTTTGAGAATGCCTGTGAGCTGCACAGGGTTGACCCTGCAGACAGGCTCCAGTTTCTCACCCCTTACTGGACCCCAAAGCCGTGGAGGTGTACAGCCGGATGACAGGGCCGGAGGCAGGGGACTATGAACTGTTCAAACAGGCCCTGCTCCGTGAGTTTGGGCTGACCCCCGAGATGTACCGGAGAAGGTTCCGGAGTCAGCGTAAAACGCCTGAGGTCACCTACCTACAACTGGCCAACCGGATGCAGGGGTATGCCCGCAAGTGGACAGCGGGGGCCCGAGCTAAAGAGGACCTGCTTGACCTAATCATACTGGAGCAACTGTATGAACAGTGCCCTTCCGACCTGAGGCTGTGGTTGGTGGACAAAAAGCTCGAGAACCCCCAGCACGCAGGGCAGCTGGCCGACGAGTTTGTGAACAGTCGGTCAGGGGGTAGCCGGGAGGAGTCCCAAAAGAACAGGCCCCCCCCGATGCAGAGAGAGAGTCACCAGGGGGCCTCCCAGCGGGGAAATAGGGAGAACCCCCTGTCACGGAGTCCCTGGGCGATGCTCTGGAACTGCTCCCCATGAAGTCAGTCAGGACTCTGGGGTAGTCGCCTTTCTGTGAGCAGCCTGTCTTCAGGACACACAGCTCACACAGCTTCCACCTTCCTGGGTCTGACCTCAGAGCATTCAGCATCCTCTGCCCCTCCGTGCGCTTCCCCCCAGCGAGTCCGCTCAGGCGGGGCTCCTGGGGAAGCCAGAGGGTCCTGCACCCCAACTTCGCAGTCAGACGTGACTCTCAGCCAGCCAGTAAAACAGAAGGTTTATTAGACGACAGGAACATGGTCTAAAACAGAGCTTGCAGGCGCAGAGAACGGGACCCCTCAGCTGGGTCCATTTTGGGGGGCAGTGAGCCAGACAACCACGTCTGCACTTCACTCCATGTCCCAGCCAGCCCCAAACTGAAAACCCCTCCAGCCCCTCCTCCTCTGGGCTTTGTTCCTTTCCCGGGCCAGGTGGTCACCTGATTCCTTTGTTCTCCAACCCTTCAGCTCTCACCTTGCAGGGGGGAAGGGCCCAGGCCATCAGTTGCCAGGAAACAGGGTGTCGGCCATTCTCTGTGTCCAGATCCCTGCACACACCTGCCCTCTAGGGCTCTGCAATGATCATACACCCTTACCCCACCACCTAGATACTTAAGAACTGCATAGGGGAAACTGAGGCACCCCCACACTATTCAGAGGAAACATTAAGAACAGGCCCACTTCGTCACATCTCTCCCCCCTTCGAGATCGAACTGAGCGGGGTCACTTTACCCGGTGACCTGGGGAAGTTTGAAGCCACCAATGTTCCCATGGATGCCCCAGCATCTCTCCCGTTCCTTGGTAGGAGTTACACCAGGCCCTTCCAGTTTCACGCCCTCCCTTAGGTCGGGGGTGGTCGATAGCACTAGCAGGCTGCATGTGGGAAGGTTTCTGCAGCCCATGCCCTTTGGCCACCCCAAAACCCCAGGGGGTCAAACTGGGATTGGGTTTTCTCCCAGAGCTCCAGTCTGGAGGGCTGCAATTCGGGCTCTCTTGGTTAAGGGCCCCCATCTTGACCTGGGCCACATACTGTTCACTTACAGAACTAGCATGGAGACATCCCTTTCCCAACAACCTTGTCTCCCCAACAAGCTGGCCAAACACAGCCACTTGGTTATAGGACGGTATACCTTTCTTAATAGCTTTCACTCCATCTGAGACCTTCTCAAAGCTCTCCACACTGGATCTTTCAACAGGAAAGTCAGTGGATCCATTCACAACAGAAAATTTCTGGCTGTTAGGAA